CCGACAGCGCCGGAGGGATCGGCACTGACCCTCCGATAGCACCCGCTCCCTTGGCACTGACCCACCGACAGCGCCCGCTCCCTTGGCACTGACCCACCGACAGAGCCCGCTCCCTCGGCACTGACCCACCGTCAGCGCCCGCTCCCTTGGCACTGACCCACCGACAGCGCCCGCTCCCTCGGCGCCGACCCTCTGACAAAATCCATGTATTTTCTCTAATTACGGTATTTGTGAAAATCCCTCCGAAGTGCCAGACTGAAAATCTCCTCTCTCTCGTATTTGGCCGATACTGAACATTACCATTTGCTTCGCTTGGGGTAATAAGACCCCATGTTGTTTCATCAATTCTCTACAATTCCTTAACACTCCACCCCTTTCATTCCCGACCCAACATTCCAACTTGCCTCAATCTCTTCAACACAACCCAAGATTAGGCTTCAGCTCATCCCCAGCAGGAGAGCGGGCGCTGTCGGAGGGTCAGCACCGAGGGAGCGGGCGCGGTCGGAGGGTCAGTGCTGAGGGAGCGGGCTCCGGCCGGAGGTCAGGGGCGAGGGAGCGGGTGCTATCGGAGGGTCAGTGCCGAGGGAGCTGGTGCTGTCGGAGGGTCAGTGCTGAGTGATGGTGGGAGTGGGCACTGTGTAACCCTGGATGACCTCCCCGCTCTTCAGGTGACGATCCCACCTTCCAGGATATTTTCCGTGATTTCTCTCGGATGGCGTCTGATGACCCAGAGAAGCTGCGTCGCGGCCGGCTGGAGAGCAGCGGGGATTTTTGACCGGGGAGTGTCCCACTTCTCCCACCCATCCCCTCTCCCCCCAGCGACAGGGACTGAGGGCGTGGGTTCGCTCGGGCAGAGGCAGTACGCACGCTCGCTCACTCACTTCGCACACTCTCGTTTTTTCTCTGTATCGCTGTGTCTCACACGCGCGTGCACACACACATGCACTCTGCCTCACACACACACACACACACACACACACAGCCTCGCATACTCCCTCTCACACATATGCATGCTCTCAAACACACAACCGCGTGCGCTCACACACAGTAGCGCATGCGCACGCACTCAAACACACACGTTCTCTCACACACAGAGAGACAGAGACAGAGAGAGAAGTCGGGGGGACCTGCACGGCGACAAAGGCTGGGGAGATTTGCCAAGACTCTTGTACCAACCCCCTGTAAAATAAACGCTGTGTCGACGCATCCCACTCCCAGCCCCCTGTCATTATTAAACTGGGGGGAGCTGCCCTGACCGAGCTCCAGC